ATAATGTTGGAAAACTTTGCTGTATGAATACAGTTTCTTTTAGTTCTGCTATTAACAAAAAATTAGAAATAACAGTGTGATAAATGTATTTTTCTTGGATTATAACGTGGTGATGTAAAAAGCTTTTGTTCATGGAATTAACTCAGAGAATGGTTAAAAGATAATCAGAAAAGTCTTCATATTTTTGGATTATCCTATCTGGATGAAGACAGGGGTGATGAACACCAGAACTCCAGAAAAGGAATTTATTGATCTCTGTTATCAGGGAGTGTGCCAACAAGAAGGAGCCACAAGGAAAAAATTTAAAAATAAAAAAATGTTGATTTACAGGTGAGGGGGGTGACTTTGAATAACGCATGAAGGTCTATGAATATGTAACAGGTCAGTGCATTTAAAGAAGTGTTTTCTGAGTTAAGGTGTGCTCTTATAACCTTTTGCTTTATTGTCTCCCATTGGCTTTTATTAAACTTTTTAAGATTTACCAGGAAAGTGAACCTCATCTTTCATAGACAGGATGGGGGACAGGGACAGCAGTGGGGGGACATTTTTGTTACTTAATATTGTTCATTTGTATACTGAAAACTGCTTTGCCTATTAAATAAAGTTGTTTTTTTTCTACTTCTCAAAAAAAAAAAAAAATTCCCTAAACCAAATTAACAAAACCTGCTTAAATCTGTTTCCTAAAAAAAACCCATTCAAAAATTTTCTCTAAACCATAATCTGCATCAAGTGCACCAGCCAAAACATATTTAGTTGTTTTTCCCCATATTTAAGTGTTTTTCTACATTTTTTTAGCTTAAACCATTGTTTACAACAAAAACACTAAATAAGACATTTTAAAACATTTTTCTACAGCCTAGCAAACTTTCTAAAACTCTTCAAAGCTACTAAAACATAAATTCTACTAAATTTAAAAAAAACCTAACTAAAAAACAAAATACCAAAATTAAAAAACTCAAAAGTTAACAGTAATACTCTAAACTGCAACCAATCACCTCACCTACAAAAACTCGTGCAAAACACAAAATAAACTAAACCAAAATAAAACAAAAATACAAACAAAATAAAATCACCAATCAAAAAATGCCATCACATAAACAGTAGTTTGAAAATTAAGTAAAATTTAAAGTAAGCAATAAATTAACTTCTACATAATCACATTGATTTACTCTCCAAAAGTCCTTTGCTCCCACATGTAAAAGCTTACTGTATGATGTCAATGGCTAGCTAATCATTTGAGTTAGCAGTTACATTTAAACTTTGGGGCTTGTTTTGCAGTGGAAATTTCTTTTAGCTTTGGTAAAAACCATTTTTTTTTTGGTCTGCTTATGCTTTTTTTGTTTGGTAGAAAACGTGCTTTATTTGAAGAAGATTTATCTTTTTGTTTGAAGGCCACTTAGTCTTTGGACTTCAGTGATAAAACTTTTTCAAACTTAACTAAACTTCTGTTCTTTCAGCTGTTTCAGCAACAGCTGGCCTTAAAATCATCTTTTACACGTCAAAACTTGCTTTGATTCTTACAGAAATTTTTGCACAACTACAATTTTTTTATTAAAATTTTCCTCCTTCCCAACATCCACAAGATCCACACGTGCCCAGGGCTGCCCTCCTGGCACTCACCTTGACCAGGGCAGAGTGCAGGTACATGTTGTGGGGCATGATGACAGCGCCCACGATGCCCACAGCCTGCTCCAGCTGGGGGGTGCCACAGCCCTGGCAGTAGGGGATGAACAATCCCTGCAGCAGCTTCTCCTGGTTGGGCTTCACCGTCACATACTGGGCACAGGGACAGGGAAAACAGCGAGTTTTGGGCTGCCCCAGACAGAAATCACAACACAGACCCCAAGCTCCTCCATTTGAAGTGCCCATGCCTGTGTTTGGTGCTGTGTGAGGGGGAGCACAGCACTGGATTTGGAATTGTTAAGGTTGGAAGGCTCTGGGATCGTTGGGTTCAGCACTGACCCTGTCCCCAAATTCCCCAGGGATTGGGATTTTTGTAGCAGTGTGGCAGCCCTGCCCAGGGTGAATTCTCCCCAATACCAAACCCAAACTGCCCCAGGAGGACATTTCCTCTCATGCTGTCACCTGGGAGCAGAGCCCAGCCCCACCTGGCCGTGTCCCCTCCTGCCAGGGAGCTGTGGACACCAAGAAGGTCCCTCCTGAGCCTCTTTTTCTCCAGGCTGAGCCCCCCCCAGGTCCCCCCTGGTGCTCCAGCCCCATCCCCAGCCCCATTCCTGGCTCTGGACACTCTCCAGCCCCTCGGCGTCCCCTGCAGGGGATACCTCATATCCAAAGGTCACGGCCATGATGGTGATGAGGAGCCCAAAAAACGCCTCCAGCTTCCTCAAGCCTGCAAGGAGGAAAAAATCCCAATGTCAGCGAGGTGAGAAATGCTGGATCCCAAATTCAGCCCCCAAAACCCCAGAGCAGAAATTACCATATTTATCCAGGAAGAGGAAAACGAAGGTGTCAGCAATGGTGATGAGCACTCCCCCCCAGAGCGGGATCCTGGGGGCAAGAGCAGGGTCAGTGCCCACCCAGAGCCCCAAATCTCTTTGGTTTAGGGCTTTTTTGGGGTGGAGCTGGATGTTTGGGGGTTCCTCACAACCTGAGCAGGACAAGGGACCACAGGGCTGTGTCCTGGCTCAGGAACACTTGAATCCATGGGACACCCCATGCCTGCCTGCTATGGGTCCAATCCCTGCCTCACCATCCCAATCCCTGCCTCACCACCCCAACCCAATCCCTGCCTTCCCAGGAGTCCTTTATGGAATGGGGAGTTTGACAAGACGCTGCACCCCAATTTTGTGACCCTCAGAGTTAAAAATCCCCAGCCCCCGTGGGTGTCCCACAGTGAAAATGCAACCCTGGAGGCTGAGCTGGCGACCAGAGCTCAGCCAGTCGGGGTGAGTCACATCCCGAGTGCTGATTCAGGGGAATGTACAGGAAATCAAGGAGTTTTTGGGGTTTGCCTCCCTCCCCCCCTGAGCCCCACACAAAGCCCAGCTCACTTCCCCACGGAGAGCAGGTTGATGGCAATGGCAGAGCCGATGACCTCCTGCATGTCAGAGCCGATGATGGCCAGCTCCACCATGAGCCACAGGATGATCCGAGGGACCTGGGGGGGACACGAACACCCCGGGCCATAAAAACAGTGAAAACGCCTTCTGCCATGGGGCTGTGGTGATCCCACACCCAGGAATGGGATCAGCACCCTGCCCTGCTGTGGGAAGCACCCAGGGATGCTCTGGAGTGAAATCCCAGCTCCTGTGGCAATCCTGGCGAGGATCTGGGTCACTTGTGTCACCCCAGCTCCTGCCCTGGATACAGGAGCCAGGTGGGAGAGAGAAATGTGGGATGGGCAGGTGTGGATAAACTGGGAATGAGCGTGGGGAGATGCTCCAGGTCACAGCAGTGACAGGAGCTG